AGGATCCCTACACTAGGCCATTGGCAGCGCCATGTTCCCCCGCTCCCGCGTGCTCTCTGACCATGCCGTCTCTGTCCCAGGCGCGGCAGCCAAGCTATCTCAACATGTGCGAACGGCATCTCTCTATCTTCTGATTTAGGCACGAGTTTTGGTGGACTGACGGTGGTGGCTTTCTTTGCAGAGAAACAAGTAGTGAAGAAGCGTACTGAACTACTCTGATGCATGTATTCAGAGTTGTGGCTGTTTGCTGACAGCACAGTTGAAAGGTCCTAATGGCTAGAGGGGGGGTGAATAGCCTAATAAAATTCTACCACAACACTTAACAAAATGTGTTAGACAATTTTGCGGTGAAGCGAGTGTTGCGCTAGCCTACTAAAATGCAAGCCACCTACCACAATTCTATTTCGAATAGTGTATGTCCACACAATAGCTATGACACTTAGCTAAATTAGTGTGCTCTCAAAGACTAACTAAAGAGCAACACTAATCAAACAAACAAGCTCTCACAACTAGCTACACTAAAGAGCTTGATAACTAGTTTGCGGTAATGTAAGAGTGAGCAAGAGAGTTATACCGCCGTGTAGTGGTAGGAACCAATCAATAACAATAATGAATACCAATGTAGACCAATCACCTCGGAATCAAATGATGAACACAATGATTTTTATCGAGGTTCACTTGCTTGCCGGCAAGCTAGTCCTCGTTGTGACGATTCACTCACTTGGAGGTTCACGCGCTGATTGGCATCACTCGCCAAACCCTCAATAGGGTGCCGCACAACCAACACAAGATGAGGATCACACAAGCCACAAGCAATTTACTAGAGTACCTTTCGGCGCTCCGCCGGGGAAAGGTCAAGAACCCCTCACAATCACCATGATCGGAGTCGGAGACAATCACCTCCTCCACTCAACGATCCTTGCTGCTCCAAGCCGTCTAGGTGGCGGCAACCACCAAGAGTAACAAGCGAAATCCGCAGCGAAACACAATCACCAAGTGCCTCTAGATGCAATCACTCAAGCAATGCACTTGGATTCACTCTCAATCTCACTATGATGATGAATCAATGATGTAGATGAGTGGGAGAACTTTGGCTAGGCTCACAAGGTTGCTATGTCAATGAAAATGGCCAAAGATGTGAGCCACAGCCGGCCATAGGGCTTAAATAGAAGCCCCCACGAAATAGAGCCGTTGTACCCCTTCACTGGGTACTCTGCGCTCTGACTGGACCCTGGACACAGCGTCCGGTCCACTGATTTTTACCACGTGTCATTTCGAGTTAAAACTGAACCGTCAGATCTTAACGGCTAAGTATTGACCGGACGCTCCGGTCAAACCGACCGGACGCTGGAGCCACAGCGTCCGGTCGAGTACAGTAAGGGTCCAAATCTATTTTTCTTCGACCGGACACGTCCGGTCCACCCCGACCGGACTCAGCCAGTGTCCGGTGGTATACCCTAGCCACTGTACCGCCGAGTCAGCGCGACCGGACGCAGGCAGTCAGCGTCCGGTGCAATCAGATCCAGCGTCCGATCAGAAGACCGAAGCCAGCGTCTTCGCGATCAACTCGTTTTCACTTCTAACTTCTTCACCCTTGCTCCAATGTGCCAACCACAAGAATTTGCATCCGGCGCAATAGAAAATAGGCATTCCATTTTCCCGAAAGCGCCGAATCCCGCCGAGAGGGACTCAACCCTGCAAACACCACCTCCTTTGTAAATGTGCCAACACCACCAAGTGTATCACCTTGTGCACAAGTGTTAGCATATTTTCACAAACATTTTCAAGGGTGTTAGCACTCAACTAGATCCTAAATGCATATGCAATGAGTTAGAGCATCTAGTGGCACTTTGATAACCGCATTTCGATACGAGTTTCACCCCTTTTAATAGTACGGCTATCAATCCTAAATGTGATCACACTCTCTAAGTGTCTTGATCACTGAAACAAAATAGCTCTTACAAATTATACATTTGCCTTTAGCTTTTTGTTTTTCTCTTTCTTCTTTTCAAGTCGAAGCACTTGATCATCACCATGCCATCATCTTTATCATGCTTTGATCTTCATTTGCTTCACCACTTGGAGTGTGCTACCTATCTCATGATCACTTGATAAACTAGGTTAGCACTTAGGGTTTCATCAATTCACCAAAACCAAACTAGAGCTTTCAACAGTGATCTATTTTAGTTCTCTGACTTGCCATCTACTTGCTAAAACATTCTTGCCTATAGATGTTTTTTCAGCTATCATCTATTATGTGAATCTGAGTACATTGTTTACCTTGATCTTGACAACAATGACCATTGCAGTCCTAGGAACTTTTCTAAAAACGAGATGGTTGTGATTTGTCCTGAAACTTCTGTTCAGTTGATAGTTGATTCAGTTAAACTGTAGTTTCTGAATGTGCTCATTTTGGTGTCGTCTCTGCGTGTGGCCATGTGCTGATTTCACATGAGAAAACGAATAGCCAAATGTGCTCATTTCCAGTTTATGCATGTTTGTTTATTCGAGCACATATGGCAGCAAGTTAAGTTGATGTTCATGCTTGAATAATTTTTCATCAAAGGCAGCCCAATGGTATATAAATTGATATTCATCATTGATCTTGGCAACTTGCGAAGGATTAAAGTGCTTGCAGACGATCCCTCGTCTCTGGTTTGTACGACATGTCTTTTTAATCGTCTCTGCGTCAGATTTTAGTCTCATGAGGACTGCCCCGTCTGTGAACTGTACATGCCATTAAAAAGAAGCAAGAATGTTACGGCTCGGCTGCCACGAGTTCAGTAACCTATCGCTTGAAATTGCAGGCCCCTATGACGTAAACATGGATACTGTATTTTTCATTTTAGAAAAAAAGAAAATTGAATAGGCGGTGAATGGAGGATCGAGTAGGTTGGGACTTGAGCGGTTGGCCATTTACATCCTGGTAAGGATCACACTTATCCGTGGCATCACCATCAGAGCGTGGTACACGACCTGCAGAAAAATGATATAAATAAAAGAATGAAAGCGTCTACTCTGGCTCTGAACAGTTTTCGAATCTTTTAATCTTTCGTGCTGCACGCAGCAAAGAAATGTTGGTGTTCAAAAACGAGTGTAGAAAAGAAAACCTCATGTGGTGGGGTGGCGGTTTGGAGTCCTTGGAGGTTTGGACGGGTCTCAGATGTCACACGTGTGCATACATACAGACATAAAGACAGGTAGACTAGTTGACGAAACACAACTGTACAATTAGTGGAAACCATGCATTCAACGCAAAAGTGAAGCTTCGCCATGTACTATTCAGACCGGCACATACTGGAGCTTCCTCCTCCAAGAAAAAAAAAATGGGCAGAAAAATGTAGGCTATTTCACGTATCCGTCGATCGCTTCGTTGATGTGGTGTTAAATGGGCTGCATCTGGGTGTTTGCGACGGCTACACAAACAGAGTAGCATCACTGAAAACTGGAGTTTGTGAAGCATCTCTTTAGATACTCTCATAACTATACTATTTTTTTTTTCAAACAGTGTGTGGAGCTAAAACCGTTTGGCTAAAAAATATAAAGCGGGACTAAAAAAACGTAGAGCAAAGCAGTCCCAAACAAAGTTTTTTTTTGCAAGAGTTCGATTTTCTCGAAGAAATGGTCTTGGAAACTTCAGAAATCGTGGTCCTGTTCGGTAGGAATCCTTCGAAACGTCCATCTTCAATAATAGGAGTATCTCTACCAATCGATTTAGTGTCATATTCTACAGACTAGAAAGCAGCTTATTCCTCAGGGAATTAGAATCAGTTCCTATCCAGAAACATATTCTCAAGAAATGGAATCCATGCAAAACGGGGCTTCCTCATGTTTCCTACTCTTTCCTTTTTAAACTGTAAGATGTTTTGGTTTTTCTAGATACATTGTTTTAATTATGTATTTTAGTATAGTATGTATATAAGTGTATAATAAAAACTATTTATATAGTAAAAACTATTTATATAGTAGTACCAAACACCCCCTTAACTAGCCCTTCAGGGTTGTATCTTTTCATGGACATAAGAAGTACATAGACACATGATCTATTTGATACATAGTAGTAATTGTTAGCTAACTAATTTTTAGCTCGAGTCTATCCAAATAGTATAATAATAGGTGAGCTAATTTTTTTTAGTCAATCCTTGAACTAGTTGTTAGCAAACCTCAGCTAATTTGGATTAATTTTTAGCTCTAACTAATAATTAGCCCTAGTGGATGAAAACATGCCCTACGCACCAACGTGTGTGTTGGAATATAAAAAACTCAAACCACTAGGATGATAGCTTAATCTGACTCTGTTTGTAAAAGAAATGATTTCTGGATTATGAGAAATCCCATTTTATGGTTTCTAGTCCTGTTCTACTCCTTATGTCTAAAATATAAGGTATTCAGGTGATTCTAAGACAAATAAGGAGCCTTGCAAAAAACTATCTTGCCCCACTAATTAAATTAGAGAGAATAGTTCAGTTGTTACTTTCCTTAGCTACCAGGCGACCCTTTTGTGTGACACCACGTTTAAAAGAAATCTCAGTATTTCTTGCCACAAAGATAGAGGAGACGGCGCGGGTGTTTAAGAACCCAGAATATCTAAATTTTGGTACAAATTTTAAACTCAGGATCTCTTATATTTTAGGAAGAATGGAGTATCTATGAAACTGATAACCTATTAATCGATGGGATCCTGGTTTTTCTTTAGAAATTGTTTATGTTTGGTAGTCTTCCAGATTGTGTCAAGAGACCGAAACTAGAAATCCTAACTACTAAACGGCTCTTCGAAGCCGTGTTTTTTCATACACACAACAAAGTAGATAGGCATCTAACGGACAGAGACAAAGGGTCCTTTGAAATACAGGAATTTCACAAAAATTACATCGGAGTTTTATAATATAGGAATCAATTTATTTTTCACAGGAATAACAAAAGAAATAGAAAAAATCTCACGTTCCAAATAATAAGCTTTTTAACATCTTGAGAGCCTGTGTACGTGGAGTAAGGACAGGTTACCCGCTCATCATCGTAACCTCGTCTGGTTGCCTTCCACACGCTCGCTGCACAACCTCGTCGACGAACGCCTGGACGTGCCGGTCTGATGACCCGCCGGGCGCCACGGCCCCCCGGGCCACCGCGCTCCATGACCTGGCTCTGGACAGCATGGCGTCAGCCTCTGGCCCCGCCACGGCGGCGTCCACGGCCTCGCGCACGGCCTCCCGCCGCAGCGGCGCGCGCAGACGGACGCCCATCCTGAGCTCGTCCACCAGGAACTTGGCGTCCGTGCACTGGTCACCCCATTGAGGGAATGCTACCACGGGCACTCCGGCGGCCACCGTCTCTAGCGTGGAGTTCCAGCCGCAGTGCGTGAGGAAGCACGCAGTGGCAGCGTGCTCCAGCACGCGCTCCTGCGGGCTCCACGGCACGACCATGCCGCATCCCGCGACGGTGTCCAGGAACCCCTCCGGGAGCAGCGGGCGGGTATCCGGCCGCACCACCCACAGGAAGGGCCGGCCGGTGGACGCGAGCCCGTGCGCCATCTCGGCGACTTCCTCGGCGGACAGGACCACGACGCTGCCCACCGACGCGTACACGACGGAGCGCGGCGGCTGCGCGTCCAGCCACCCCACGCAGTCGTCGTCCGCGGCCTTTATCAGGTCACCCCGCACCGCGGCGCCGTCCTCCTCGAGCTCGATGAGCGGGCCCACGGGGATCAGCTGCGGCGGGCGCGGCGTGACGCCCGGGAGCGCGGCGAGCACGTCGCGCTCGAGCTCCGTGAAGGAGTTGACGAACACCCACGCCGCCTTGTCCACGTTGCGGAACTGGCCCTGTATCGCGTCGGCGATCATCTTGTACGGGTTCGACGGGAGCAGGAACGACGGCACATCGGCGACGGACAGCGGCGGGAGGCCCGGGAGCGCGACCCGCGCGTCGATGTCATCCTCGGGCGGGAACTCCACCAGCCCGCGCGCGTAGTGGTAGTAGAGCGAGAGCACCGCGCACGACTGCACCCACAGCACCGCGGCGGGGACGCCCGCCTCGGCCGCGACGTCGACCACCCACGGAAGGAACGGGTTGCCGACGACGTACGTCACTGGCCGCCCCGCCTCGGCCTGGCGCCCGAGCAGCTCGACGAACGCTGCCGGCGCGGACGTCTCGAAGTACCGCATGAGGTCGTCCTTCTCGTTACCGTGGTCGTCCAGGAACTCGAACCGGATGCGGCCGCTGCCCACGCGCACGCCATCGCCGCCGGTCGACACGACCCCCGATGAGGAGGCGGCCGCGAGGCAGGCGCCGATGCTGGAGGTTGTGCAACAGGTGACGAGGAGGCCCTTGGCCGCGAGGCGCTTGGCGAGGCGGAGCGTAGGGTTCAGGTTGCCCTGGCTCGGGAAGCAGACGAGGACTACGTGGGGCGGTGCGGCCGCCGCGGCGGCGGGCGCTGTCTCTTCTCGAGCGCTCATGGCCGCGTGCGGTGTGCTAGGAGCTCGTTCTCTTCGCCTACTTCTGAGAGTTGTCATTGAAAAATGCAGCTGCCTCGCTATATATTCAGTTTTTTTTTTGCGAAACGGGCACTGATTATTCACGTTCGTATCTATGGGCACTGATTATTCACATCTATCGATGCAGGTACCGACGCTCGCTACCTCCTCGACACAAGAGTATAAATATAGACACTCATGTACGTCGTCTACTGCTAAAACAATTGCATCTACAGGACAGGTTTTCCACCACACTGTGCTCGGCTGGTATGGCTGTGGAGGAATTTGGATGGTTTGGAGGAATTCTGGAGAAATTTATGAGACGAAAACACGGTTCCGAATGAAAAAAAAAAGTAGATCAAGCCAGGTTTAAGGGCACGTGAACGGGCTAAACCTAACCAACTTAGCTATTGCTCGGTTCGTGTCTCCAACTACTCTGCAGCCTCTCCTAATCATGTTTCTCTTCCTTCTCTCAGTCAGTCTGTTTCTCTCTATGGATTAAGCAAATAAACCTTAAATACTATCCTTCCATTCTAAAGTATAAATTGTTATGTCTTTTCTAAATACATAACTTTTATTATATATCTAGAACATATATTTAGGTACATGTGGCAGAACCGTCTAATCTAATGCCTCACAGGAGTGCTTGTCTTCCATTAGACACTAAGCACTCAAGGGAGAACACTAAATTACTCGGTTCCGTCGGGCACACCCCAGGGAAGAACCCGAAAATCCACATTTTTGCCATCAGGATCACAAATGAGAGAACAAAGCTTATATCATTCTTAACCATTTCATACATCCCTTTTAGTACAACATCAGAGTATAATTGTTATTGTATAACAACGGACTGTAATCATATTATCAGAGTTATAAATAATTTAATGTACAGCGGAATTTAAACATGTGATCAGAATTATAGCGGAAATAAACATCTATTCATGATATGATGAAGTATTGATATATAAACTACTACAACAGATTACGAAACTTTCATTTATAAAAATATTTGGTGAGAGTTATAAATAAAAACTACGATCGCGACGTAAAGGAATCCTCGCTGAGCCCACCAGGAGGGATCCACACACAAGGGTCAGCTCTAGCATCAACCTGTCACCTGCAACAGGGGGAATAAAACCCTGAGTACTCAATTATACTCAGCAAGACTTACCCGACAGGAGGAAAGAAAAGACTCCAAGGATATACAAGGCTATCTGGCTTGGGGGTTGCATTTGCAGGAAGCATTACTAAGCGTGCGTCCTTATATTTGATTTTTATTAATAGCCGCATTGGTTCATTAACTAACCATTCTATGTAAGCACCTGTGCTATTTTCAAGCAGGTGGTAAGCAATCGATTTCCTTTTCCATCTTTCATCTTTCATCTTGATTCTTACTACGATGCTAAACATGGAGACAAGCCGCATGCGGATAGCCCGGCGATTCGCGAATCAATGCCCCAAATTGGGTACCCGAAAACACACGCCCGCTAATACCCCGAGCACAAGCAGGACCAACCCATCACTCTCTCTGTCCGGGTGTCGAGTCCCTCGTCAAACGGGACTCAAGCCCCCGCCCCGAGTCCGGACTCGGTCGGTGCAAGGACCTCCTCCACCAAAACAAACCCTAACGATCGGTCCGGAAAGAGCCGGATCCGCGACAAGAAAGCAACAAGTCTTCCAAGCGCCCATACACAAGTATGTGCTCGGGATAATAAGTCATGTGACCTGCCTAGAGTCATATGCAATGATCGGTCCTTAGCAGGCAGACGGTGAAAAAATAGTGTAACCAAGCTATGTCCCGTGTCCACGACGACACAACTCCTTACACTCACAATAATACCCAAACCATATCCTGTCCGATCACCATTTTCCTTTCCACCATTTTGATATTTTCCAAGTGATAGTAATCCAATAATATATTTCCTATCTCTCTACGAGTGACAGCAATCACTCGACTTTTACCGGAGTCTGTAGCATAGCATTCTACACGATCTGTCATACTAGTAAGACTCATAGGAATAAAGATATATATGCAAGTGGGTTTCATTCAACTCCTTAAACTTAATGCACAAATATAATTTAAACTGTAGAAAAGTAGAGGTTATGCACCGGGGCTTGCCTTGGTAAAATATAACCAAAAGTTAGCATTCCATCTCCGTGACACGATCGCCATGGCATCATCTTTCAGCTACTCCTATCGATCCCATGACCCATCATGGCTCCTCGCTTGACGAGTAATGTCGACTACAGCCCGCATGTAGCTTGCAGACGGACAGAACAGAAGTCAAGAGAGTGAGAAGAGAGCTGGAGCTATGGAGAGCGGAGGCTTTTACTGCTGGCTCTGTCTTGGGCTCGCATTTTATAGGCCACGAAGAGAAGCTTGCAAGCTTGATTTAGCGAGATGCAAGAGTCCTTGAAAAACAATCTTGCTTTGGGTATGGAGGAAGGAAATAGTTTTATAATACTATATTATATATCTACAAGTATGGTTAACAGCGAGGCAAACAATCTGGGCGATGGACGTGTCGTGTGTGTGACAAGTTATACGAGCACATTTATGACGACCGACTCAGCTACGAGAGAAGGGAGAAAAGATGTGACATTGCCCAGTCGCTGCCTGTGGTGAACAGTGTTTCTCAGCTACAGCTACCGTGTTTTACCAGGCTTATTACAGCAGATGGTGACTGCCTGATGTGAGTCGTCGTCGTCGGATAGTGAGAGAAGCTAGCTAGGCTGAACAACTAACTGCTTGCATTGACAGTCCCCAGCTCCCACACAGCTTGCTTGTGTGTGTGGCGTGCTGCACATGCATCACATTCTTTTCCTAATAACACGTCATAGACTTGACTTTTGTCGTCGTGTACGGCACGGTATATAATGCATGCATGTATACAGGGGACAACTAATTAATCCATGGGAGACTTTGGTGCTTGAGCTAGTACACTATAGCAGGAAGGCATGACTTACTTAGCAGGTGCATACCAAGGATGGACGAGAGCTGCAAGAGGTCATGGAAGTCATGGTTCTCTGCGTGCTACAGTGTTTCTGCGTGCTACAGTGTTTCGTGGGAAGAAACTGACCATGCTTGGAAAAAGTACATGCACGAACAGAAGCAAGCCGTGGAGATTCAAGCAGCAATAGGAGAAGCAATGAATGGGCAAGTTGGAAAGAAGCCAACAGAAAAAGTACAAGAAAGGGATGGTCAATTAGTAAAGAAGTATTGTACCAAATATCTCATTATTGTTGTTTTAGTAATAGCCGTGTTAGTTCAAGCTTGCTTTTTGCGGCTTAAGTAGAGTACGTGAAGCGTAACAAGCTATTACTTGCATCTGCTATTAATTCAAGTGCGTGTTTGATGGGCGCGCCCCGACCAACACGACGATTGACTAGGTATATATGCCATGGCCATGGGTCATCCCTTCCGCCAATCTAATCTAGTACACGGTTCGTCATCCGACCGGTCATCATCGCCAAGCTAGTTGCTACCAAACCAGGTGCAGAACAGCACAACACAACCCTAGGAATTCATATCATCAGGGCTGCATGAGGGGCTGCTGCTGCTCACATGGCTGGCTACAATGCTCAGCTACCGCGAAATACTAGTACACAAATAATTGGTCAGAGAGACAGAACCAGACTTGCACGAAACGCATGTGAGTGTGTGAGCCTGATGAGCTCAGCTTTTGCTTTCGGCTATCCATCTAGGTGGCCGCGACGAGTGTTTATATACTATACGTAGCTTATAAACTGCAGCATTGCAACGTTAATAAACTTTCTAAAGCTCATCTTTCCTTGGATCGCACGATCGCACGTACCACGGCATTAAACAGAGTGATCATAGAAGAATCTCTGCGTTTGCAGAGCAGCGAACGAGCGGCGTGCTCAGCGGGCCGAGCTTGTAAGTGAGATTAATGCGTAGCGTGTGCGATGCTGTTGCTATGGTCGGCAGCACTATCGTTATTATTTCAGCTCTTCAATATTCATCAAGCCAACTATTTATATTTTTAAACACGGCTAAAGCACTAAAGTTTGTTACTCGATATTTTAACTGTAACCAAAATCATACTCCGAATTTTACTTAAGAACTCTATACCAGTCAAATCGTATTTTTGGTTATGAAAATTGTTTTCATGTTTAATCCAACAGAACAAGCCATTAACCATTTACTTGCTAAAATCATTATCGAATATTCCTAAATATTTCTACGCACTACTTAATTTAACTTGAGCGTTTATTTGAGTCCACAAAACTAAGTCAAACAGGATTCGCTTATCGCCTCAAGTACGTTTAAATTAAAAACCCGATAGAACTCGATTTAGAAATTTTCTTAGGCCTAAATCATGGTGCTAAACAAGTTCGTAACACTAGGGGTGTTACAACCAACCCCCCTTAAAAAGAATCTCGTCCCAAGATTCGAAGCAAGAACCAGAAGGGAAAAACGTGATTATATTTCGTAGATCAGAGATTCCACGAAAGATTATACGACTTCGAATACTCAACCACACGGGGATCTAGGGATACATGGTTAAGAGCAACCTGGTACAACCGAGACTTAATCTAGAAGTCGATATAGACGAGGGCAATGGAGAAACAATAAGATAATGATTATCCAAAACATGGCGTAGCACCAACAGATCCAGAAACAGTCGACGGAGAAGTAAAACATTATGAACCCTAAGGTTGCCTACCCCAAGGGAACTTGAACTTCTTCGACAAACTGGATCCTTTCTTCTCCTCAGATTACACCATCACCTTAGACTGATGAACCTAATTCCACGAGGGACGACTGGATCTCGTAGCTCTGCTCCGAATACGAGGGAATGGGATGAAGAAGAAAAAGAGCAAGGACCAAGGGTATCTTATAGAGGCGAACGGAGGTGGAGCGCAAATCACCGGCAGTGGAGGCGGAGTGGATGGGATACACAGACGGTTCATGCTATGAAGATAAGATCGGACATGGTGCGCTTCCTGCGCGAGCGGTA